ACGACATGCTTTTCAGAGCAACACCACTAGGGCTCGATTATGTCAAGAGTAAATCCATTCAGTTTCAAATACAAAGATTACGTCCCTCCAGCTGACAACTCTGCTAACTCAAACCCCACTGGTTTGACTCCGAGATAACACACTCACAATAAAGATGCTACAATTGGAATTTAATTAATTCTACTTATGCAAAACCATGGCAAAATTCAGCTCATTCATCCAGAGCTGGGTTTGGACAGGAACCTATTTGAGCAGCAAAAGGAAACAATTCTCATGAAGCAGGGAGACAGCAGCTGAGTATTAAAATGTCTTTTTACAAGCCTTTTAAAGAAAGAAGTACAGGAATCATTTTGAGAGAGGTAATACAAAAAATACCACATCACTGGCATGGAAACAGCACATCCCACTTCTCCTCCATGAAAAAGAGAAAAAAAAACCAACTGTGATCCAGACTGGTTTGTGTTGGAAAGGGCCTTAAAGCCCATCCAGTTCCAACCCCTGCCATGTGCAGGGACCCTTCCACTAGAGCAGCTTGCTCCAAGCCCCTGTGTCCAACCTGGCCTTGAACACTGCCAGGGATGGGGCAGCCACAGCTTCTCTGGGCACCCTGTGCTGGCGCCTCAGCACCCTCACAGGGAAGAGCTTCTGCCTAAGAGCTCATCTCAGTCTCCCCTCTGGCAGGTTCAAGCCATTCCCCTTTGCCTGTCCCTACAGGCCCTTGTCCCAAGCCCCTCTCCAGCTTTCCTGCAGCCCCTTCAGGCACTGGAGCTGCTCTCAGGTCTCCCCTTCAGGAGCCTTCTCTTCTCCAGGCTGACCCAGCCCAGCTCTCTCAGCCTGTGATATTTCCTTATTCATTCACAGATGGAGAAAACTCCTCACCCCACTTTCAGTAAGCTCACCCAAAGTCAGAGAACGATGCCTTAGTTCTATACACTTTGAATTCCTCAAGCACTGAATTATCACCATCTCTGTATCTTTTCCTCCTTATACTATAAACATTGTGGCCCTGAGCCCCCTGTGGCAGAGGCAGCGGAGCTCGAGTGACAACGCTACTCCACAACTCATCTCCTGCATAAATAGTGACCCAGTTACAGAAGCGTCTTCCCCAGTATTGGTACTGACCATATCAAAGGCTGTATCAGCTCTGACCAAGCCTAGGGTAGCTCCTTTTCCACCCCAGAATTCAGTTCTCCCAAACTCTGTTGTTCCCTTTAAATGTTTTGCAGATCATTCCTGTCTGGATGGAGATACAGACTTCAGAGGTGCTGCTGGGTGACAAAGGTTAATACCTTTGTCATTTCCAGACAGCTTACACACAGCTTTACATCTAGCTAGCCCTCAAATTTGGGAAAAGCTCGGACAAGGAAACCTATTCAACCAGGAATTAAAATCCAAGGAGTTTGCAGCAATATCACCAAGTCCTTCCTAAGATCAGTTCCACTCAATTCTGCCTGAACTGCTGAAGGAGAGGCAGGTCCAGGTATCGGGTACATCCAGGTCATCATGGCTTTATCAGGGATCACCACTGCAGTGAGAACTCCTGCATCAGAGAAGGGATATGACCACAAGCAGCAGCACCTTCAGGTACACTTGTGCCAATCTTTGCTCCTCACACTCTCCAAACTCACTCCTGCAGAGGAAGCTGACACCTCCGGCATTGACAGTCTCTCTGGCCTTAAGGCTGCACCCACCACTGGCTGACAGCAGCAATCCTCTGGTACTCATCTGTGACCGACACTTCCATGAGCACAGCTATATCAGCATGGGCAGAATTGCTGCCAGACTTTTCCACCGAGAGCCCTGATACCTCTCCCATCAGCTCCTGCAGTCCCCGGCACATTCTCTGAACACCTACAGTAGCCCCCAGTCCACCACCAGTGTGGCACCTCCTCCTCACCCAGCACTTCAGGCGAGCAATCACATTCTACACCTCAACTCCAATCTCTGCTTCCTCTAAACACCTTCCCTGCTGCCAGACCCAGCCACCTAGGGGCTCTCCAGGACTTCCCCCTCCACAAGTACACTCACACACATGAAAAAGTGGCAGTCCACAACCCCACAGCACCCCAAAAGGGAGGGGGAATGCGTCCCTCTTGGCACAGGAGGCACAACCAGCCATGTTTCTCTGTGTACACACAGCCTACACCCCGACTCTCCCCCGCCTCTCCACTATGTGCATCCCCCTTCCTTAATCTCCCCGCAAATACAGATCCAGCAGCAGTGCTGGCAGCCCTACAGAATGGTTCAGGTTGGAAAGGACCTTAAGTTCCAGCCCCTGCCATGGGCAGGGCCACCTCACGCTAGACCATGCTGACCAAGCCCCTGTGTCCAACCTGGCCTTGAACACTGCCAGGGATGGGGCAGCCACAGCTTCTCTGGGCACCCTGTGCCAGGGCCTCAGCACCCTCACAGGGAAGAGCTTCTGCCTCATATTTAACCTGAGCTTCCCCTCTTTCAGTCTGAACCCACCACCCCTTGTCCTATCACTACAACCCCTGATGAAGAGTCCCTCTCCAGCATCCTTGTAGATTCCCTTCACAGTCCCTCAGACTCTTCTCAGCTCCTCTTCTCCAGGCTGAACAGCCCCAACCTTCTCAGCCTGTCCTCATATGGGAGGTGCTCCAGCCCCTGATCATCCTCATGACCTCCTCTGGACTTGCTCCAACAGCTTCATGTCCTTCTTATGTTGAGGACACCAGAACTGCACACACGTCGTTGATGTCCTCTCCATGTTACCCGCTCCCTGTATCATATGCAGGGCAGCAAAGGCCTCCACACACAGACCCACAATCCCCCAGCCACACTGATAGCCTGAGCCTTGTTCCCTCATCCCACTGTACCCAGACCTAGCAAGGACCCTGACAGACTCTTTTCCCACATACTGCCACTTCCCCACACCTTCCCTGACCCGAAAGGAGAGCAGCACCCCCTTTCTGACATGCCCACACCCAGCAGACCCCTACCACCATCCTATTCCCCAACCCAGCCAGCAACTGGACACCCCATCCTCCTGCACCCCAGGTACCAGCATTCATCCATCCCCCTCAGCACCTCCACTGCAGGGATGCAGACAACCCCAACGGACACATAACTTCATCCTCTGTCATACTGCCAGGCCCAGCAGTGACACTTGCTGCCCCTTTGCCATACACACACACACACACACACACACTCCATACTCCTATATGACCCAGTCAGCCGTCCTCACAGTAACTCCCAGACCTCTCTTCTCCCCCTTCCACGCTCCCACCCCAGCTCAGCCTCATCCCAAATCCAGCGAGGCCCCAAGCATCACTCCCAGCTCCTTCTGCACAGCATATCCAGCCAAACCTCTTCCACTGCATCCACACAAGGACACTTACACCTCATGCTATGTCCACTAAAATGATCCCCCATCCCTCCCATTCTGCATTCACATACTCCACACATCCCACATGCAGCCCCATCACCCTCCTACATCCTGTGAATTACAGCTCTACCTCTTCCAAAATACACTCTAGAGCATCCCTGCCTTCACACACTGCAGACCCACGTCCCCTTTATGCATGTTTATGATCTTAAGGTCCTTTCCAGCCCTAACTATTCTATGATTCCATGTTCCCAGCCCCATGGTACTAGCACTTCCCCCTGTACGCACAATCCCCAGCCTCACTGAGATCCCATACTGACCTGGTACACATCAATCCCTGACCACAGTCCTCTGCCCACCCCATACACATGTATACCTGACACCAAGCACCACAGCCCCACATCATCCCTCTGCACATACATCCCTGCCCCACAGAGCACAGTACATGTGCATCCCCACACTTCCCCTTACACACAGGCACCTCCAGCCCCACAAACCACCCCCCCATACACATATATGTGTATATATACCTAACCCAAAGCACTATAGCAATAGCATTTCCAGCCACATCTCTCCCCACGGAGGTGACTCCCCTTCCCCAAGTACACCTCTCAGACCCCATGCACTGCAGCTCCATCTCTTCACTCCTTACAGGCACCCCAGCCACACACAGCACAGCCCCAGCCATGAGGTTAACACCTCCCCACCCTATCACCCTGTACACCCAGCCCAACCCTTGCGCCCTACAGCCTCGGCACTTACCCTTGTACCAACACTGCGAATCCTATACTTCCATGTCACAGCCTCCTCAGCATTGCCCCCAGGGCACAGACCATCACCCAGAAGTAAGCCAGGACAACACAGCAGCAGCAGCACATCCTCCCAGGCATGCAAAGGGGCTGGCTGCCCCTTCTCCCCACCTAGTACACTCCTCTTCCATATCCAGAGCACTACAGCCCAAGCAGCAGGGCCAAGAGCCCCATCTCCCCTCTCCTGTACACATGCACCCTGGTACCCTGTAGTCTATAGACAGAGAAAGGGAAAGCAGCAGCCCCATCTTCTCAGGCCCACTGCCCCACAGCCCATCTCTCCCTCACAGCAGGGCCCCCATGCACCAGCACTGCCCCATATCTCCTTTCCCATCCTCTCTGTCCTCCACACTGCTCCACAGCCCAATTCCCCTTCACCATCCCCACATCCCACCTCCCCAAGGCCCCCTGCACTGGCTCACCACTTCAACTCCCCCATCTACACCTCACATGCACTGCCCCACACCCCATCTCTCTACATGCCCCCAGCTTGGGTTCTCCACTCCCCATGCCCACATCTCCAGCTCACACCACTTCCCCTCCCTCTCTCTACAGAGCTGCCCCACAGCCCGCCTCCACATACCGCAACACTGCCCCACAGCCCCCAGCGCTGCCCAAAGCCCACACCTCCATGTACATCTCCTCCTACAACGCACTGTCCTGCCCCTCACAGCTGCCCTCCACAGTCCGCCTCCCCTCACAGAAGGGCCTCATGGAGGGCACTTACAGAGCTCGCTCCCCCCAGAGCCCTCCTCAGGCACAGCCACCCCTCACCGGGTCCCCACGACCGCGTCCACCCCCAGCGCACCCCCGCTCTCCCCACACCCCGGCCCCTCACTCACAGAGCTCGCAGTAGCGGTGGCAGCCCCGGCCCAGCCCCTGCAGGTACCGCTGCAGCACGTCGGTGAGCAGGTCGCAGGCCGAAACTTGCACCGAATCCCACCCCAGCGCCTGGCAGATCTGCGCCACCGACACCCGCAGCAGCCACCACGAGTAGGTCTCGCACATGCCGGCTCGGCTCAGCGCGCCCCGGGCCCGCCGCCCGCCCTGGGCCGGGAGGGCCGCGGGTGCCTCACGCACTGCCCGCCGCCGCCGCCGCCATCTTGGCGCCGTTGCACCTCCCCGCCTCCCGCCACAGGCCGCGCCGCTCCAGCGCCGAGCGCATCGAGCGGGGAGCGGAGCGCCGAGCGCATCGAGCGCGGTTGCGGTGCCGCTGGTGGCGGTGGTGGTGAAGAACCGGCCCCGTCCATGAACCGGCCCGCTCCGAAAAACCACCGAAATCGGGTGTTTTCTGGCAGCAGCGGCGGGAGGTGAGGCTGGCGGCGGGAGGGCTTCCGGGGCGCTGGAGGCTGCGGCCCTGGGCTGGGCTTCCCCGCGGCCCCGTGAGGCGCTGCCGCCGGCGCATCATTTGAACAGCCGGCGGGGCCGGGAGGGACCGGCCGCAAGGGGCACTGAGCGCTCTCGGAGCGTGCTTCGCCCCTTCCCCGTTCCGGCGGATGGAGGGGGAGATGTCCGCCCTCAGCAGCGCGGGGGGTCACGAACTGCGGCGTCTAACACATCCTCCGGCAGTGCGAGCCCACAGACACCAGCTCCTCACTGCCGGGACCTCAACACCGAGTCGTTTAGGTGAGGCCCTTTAATAACGCTTTTCAGTTCGGAGGTGGTGGTTTTGGGTCCCCCTGCGTCACTATATGGCCTCACCACATGTGTTCCATATATGTCATGTATGGCAAATGCCTCAGGTTTGCTGTGGAGCAGCCGGCTGTGCAACGTGGAAGTGAAGGATTAAGCCTACGCTGTGAGGAACTGGAATCTGAAGCCCAGAGTGGTTTGTGTTGGAAGGGACCCTAAAGCTCCTCCAGCTCCAACCCCTGCCATGGGCAGGGACCCCTTCCACTGGAGCAGCTTGCTCCAAGCCCCTGTGTCCAACCTGGCCTTGAACACTGCCAGGGATGGGGCAGCCACAGCTTCTCTGGGCACCCTGGGCCAGCGCCTCAGCACCCTCACAGGGAAGAGCTTCTGCCTAAGAGCTCATCTCAGTCTCCCCTCGGGCAGGTTCAAGCCATTCCCCTTGGCCTGTCCCTACATCCCTTGTCCCAAGCCCCTCTCCAGCTTTCCTGCAGCCCCTTCAGGCACTGGAGCTGCTCTCAGGTCTCCCCTTCAGGAGCCTTCTCTTCTCCAGGCTGCCCCAGCCCAGCTCTCTCAGCCTGGCTCCAGAGCAGAGCTGCTGCAGCCCTCGCAGCAGCTCCATGGCCTCCTCTGGACTCACTCCATCAGCTCCAGGTCCCTCTTCTGTTGGGGGCTACAGGTACAGCAAAATTGGCAGCAATAAAGTGTTTATGAGTGAACTGTTTATTTGGGAAAAAACCTCCAAGCAGAGAAAAGGTGAAACTATGGTGGCAAAAGGGAGGATCCAGAAACAAGGATAATGGTTAGGGAGTGGTGTGGGAGTTAGAATGAGGAGCAGCAGGGCTGTTACTCAGTGCTGGCTGAGTGTACACTAATGGCAATTCTGTGTAACTAATCAGAGTGTGAAGGACAGAATTGTAAATAATAGCAGCCTATTGTTAGAAGTTAATTAATTCACAAGTTAGCTCTTTGATTTCTTAGACCATTACTAGTGTGCCGATTAGTCAGTAAACAGCCTTGTCTCTTCTATCAGTTACATCTCAAGTTTGAAACCTGTAGAGAAGGGACCTGGAGCCATGACCAGTCCTGTTGCTGGTCAGGGCAGGTGGGTGTTCTTTACTCGCTCTCTTCAGTCCATAGGGAAGCTTTGGGTAGGTTTGAACTGGCATCACCTTTCCCATCTTAGAAATGGGGTTCCTTCTTTCTAAATTGGAAAGACATGGATTTGACGGTTGGACTTTGGTGGATGAGGAATTAGTTGGGTGGTCATATCCAGAGGATAGTGGTCAAGAGCTCAGCGCGCAGATGGAGACTGGTGTGGAAGTGAGGAACACTGAGGTCGTGTTCCTCAGGGGTCCATGTTGGGACCAGCACTGTTTATCAGTCACATGGACAGTGGGATTGAGTGCACTTTCAGCAAGTTTGCTGACAACATCAAGCTGTGCGGCTTAGTTGATACGCTGGAGAGAAAGGACAGGATCCAGAGGGACCAGAACAGGCTGGAGAGTTGGAACTGTGCAACCTCCTGAAGTTCAACAAGGCCAAATGCAAGGTCCTGCACATGGGTTAGGGCAATTCCAAGCACAACTACAGGCTGGAGGAGACTTAATTGAAAGCATCCATGGGGAGAAAGACTTGGAGATGTTGGTTGATGAAAGGCTCCCCATGACCCAGCAGTGTGCATCTGAGCTCAGAAACCAACCATGTCCTGGGCTGCATCCCCAGAGTGTTAGCAGCAGGTTGAGGGAGGGGATTCCTTCCCTCTACCCTGCTCTGACGAGACCCTCCATGCAGTCCTGTGTCCAGCTCTGGGATCCCAGGCACAAGGTCGTTGACCTCTTGGAGTGAGTCTGAGGGGGCCACAAAGATGCTTCATAGCTGCAACACCTCTGCTCTGGAGCCAGGCTGAGAGAGATGGGCTTGTTCAGCCTGGAGAAGGCTGTTGGGAGACCCTGGCCCCATCCCTGGCAGTGTTCAAGGCTAGGCTGGATGGGGCTTGGAGCAACCTGCTCTAGTAGAAAGTGTCCCAGGGGGTTGGGACTGGATGAACTTTAAGGTCCCTGCCAACTCAAAAGAGCCTGTGACTCCATAAATGTACCACAGAGGCAGGTGTAAGCAGTCACCTCCTTCCTCAGGCTGCTACTGGACAAAGCTGGACTTCAGTCAGCTGGTCTAGAAACCAAACAGTTAAGTGCTGAACTTGGTTAATGAGTTTCCTTAGAGGCAACTTGTTGGCTTAACAAAGTGATGTCTTGGTGATACCCTGCAGCATTTGCACACTTGAATAAGGGAAACAGTACGAGTATCCTGGGGTGGGATTCAGGGAAATGAGAGGCTGTTCTGGAGGATATATATTCTAAACAAACACTGAGATGACTCATAGCATCAGATCTGTTCACTTGAGAATACGAACATCTACAAATGGTAGTAATGTGGTATCAAAACGAGAGAGAAACACCAGTGTTCCAACTGCATGATGCAGAGGTTATTCCCGTCTCCTCCAGCACACAATATTATGTGCATAACAAACCAACACTTAGAAGCACAAGGTGAAGGAGGGTGAGCAGTACTCTTCCAAAGAAACACCCACTTACATGTTTTACATGCCAGGTACATTACAAAATACAGAGCACAGCCTTTAGAAATGAAGTTTCAATGCACACCTCCATCAAAACCAGACTTAGACACCAAGAGTGTTTGCTCCACGAACAGCCAAGAGGATTTTGTCTCATGTAGGTGGTTTATTGTAAGAATTTACAGATTTCTGGCTTTCCCATTTCTTCACAAAAGAAGAGCAGTTTCATTACCACAGACATGGGCAGGTTAAACCATATGCTCAGAAAAGCTCTTCTTCACCTGTAAGGAAAGTGGAAGCAAATTAAACTCCTTCCATTTATTCAATCACTTAATACTTTTATCGTCTCCAATCTGAATACTTCATTAATATTCTTTCCACCTTCCCCCAATTCTTTATCTACTCAATTTTTCCCTTAAGTTTTACATTTGGAATATGCTTATTTTAACTTCAGAAAACTGTTCAGATTTTTATATACAGACATTTTTAAGTCATTGCATCCTGTCAGACCACTATTAAAACATTAAAAAAAGTAACTGAAAACTAACCAGAAAGAAATAAAACCAGCACAGAAAATCCTGTCAAATGGTTTAATATCATGGAAGCGTATTGCTTAAGATTACTGATGCTTCAGTACTTCTTGTTCAGAGTCAAAGAGGCAGCAGGAGCTTTCCCAGCTCTTTGGGAAGAGAAGTTTGGCTGACCAACACAACACCGCTGAATTCCAGCCTCCTCATTTGACTTGGGGATTTTCTGTGCTGATCTAAACCACAGTCTATTTTGTCACTTTACCTCTTGGATTTGGCTGAACCGCTTTGTTTTTCCGATTAATCCCTGGTTATGGTATTATGAGAGAAAACAGAACAAGCAGGTTAGGAAGCAACTCATGCAAATTCAGGCAAAATGATACATTTATGACCACAAATGTATTGTGAGGAGCACAATACAGCAGCTAACTGCTGCATGGTCAGTATTCCATGGTAGGTATTCCAGGCATTTTGTAAACAGGCAGGGCATTAACACATCTATTTGCACCTAAATACAGCACAGATTAACTCTAAGATGTCATACACATTGGACAGATGTGGTTACAAGGTGCGGGCCAAGCCCACACATTTGTAACCTGCAGTACACACAGTCACAAAGCTTCTCTCAGGGAAATAAGCAAAATACTGAGCTTAAAAGTATAAAATACACATTTTGTAGCAAGAGACTCTTGAATTCCCTCCTTCTTCCAATCCCACCCCTAAACTCACTGCTTTTGAACACTGCCACAGGCTGACTGAGCTAAAATGCAAAGTTTCAGTCACACACGTTGTTCTCCCCCACCCAACTCTGCTGGGCTGCCTGGGAAAAGTAGGAAAAGTCCAGGTAGAGGGGGAAATTCACTGGGAGCCAAAAAGGAGGAACAAACACTGGCTGGAGCACCTCCTGTATGAAGACAGGCTGAGAAAGTTGGGGCTGTTCAGCCTGGAGAAGATAAGTTGCATGGAGACCTCATAGCAGCCTTCCAGTATCTGAAGGGGGGCTACAAGGATGCTGCAGAAGGACTCTTCATCAGGGAGCGACAGGACAAGAGGTGATGGGTTCAAACTGAAACAGTGGAAGTTCAGGTTGGATACAAGGACAAAGCTCTTTACTGTGAGGGTAGTGAGGCACTGGCAAAGGCTGCCCGAAGAAGTCGTAAATGCTCCATCCCTGGCAGTGTTCAAGGCCAGGTTGGACAGAGCTTTTGGGTGATAGGATCTAGTGTAAGATGTCTCTGCCTATGGCAGAAGGGTTGGAACTGGATGATCTTAAGGTCCTTTCCAACCCTTGGAACCCAATTGTATGATTTTATGTTCAAACAAGGGTGTGTGTTGAGGCTAAAGATCTACCAGTGTTTTAAACTT